GAGAGAGAGAGGAGAGAGAGATTGTGCGCATCAGAAAACACGTCCTCAATTAACAATGGATCATATCCGTCGATTTTTTTTGGGGGGGGGGCTTTACCAACCTGCTCCCCTTGCCAAGCTCTGGGTGCGCCTTTGCGCTCGTGCGGCAGTGAACATACTACAAACGCCGCTAAAATGGTGAAAAACTTCAGTGGGGAACACTGATAGGCGTCGTAGAGGACAGAAAACCTTGCTTCCACGCCCCCCAAAAGAAATACTGCCAAAAATGACACCTTTCAAACCTGCGAAAATCTGGATCAAGCGATCGGCACGTACGGCACCACGTGACCAGACCATCAAACACACGGTACTGCTTCCGCCGGCTCGCACTCCAGCGATCCCAAGGTCACCGCATGGCGCCCCACCCGTCTCCCAGCGGATTGCAACGCCCCAAACAAGACCAGGCACTCACCGTTGGGCGGGAAGAGACGACGCCGCGCCGCAGGACAGCAGCTCAGTCTGCCTCGCAGGCGGTCGGCACAGGGGACGTCGCTCCCGCGCCGGTCGGTTCTGGCAGTAGAACATGGGATCGCCGTGCAGACCGCGGACTTGCCCGGGAGTTCCGCGGCGGCCTCCAGCCCTGCAGGCTAGAGGTGTGCGCGGCCGCCGCGCAAACCCGGCCCAACAGCGGCAGCGCGGTGTGCTTGACGCCGTACGTTGACGCTGCCCCGCCCAGCAACGCCACGCCTTGACGTTGCGCTGTACCCGTGGGTTACAGCGCAACGCGACTGCCGGCCCGCCCCGTGTGAACGGCAGCCGGCCCCTGCGGCACGACGGCGGCGAGCCCGTGGGACCCAGTCGCTGGTCGATGGAGCGGTTTGATCACCGCCTTTTCAGCGCTCAGTGCACGGCGAGCAAACCAGATACGTAAACACGGTGATGCAGTCATGCGCGCCTCGCCAATCTCCCAAGGCGTCTATGGTCTGTTGGCAGATGGCCAGCGTTCGAACCGCGCACTTTCATGGTGCCGCTGCTTACATTCGCCCTTCAGTGCGAGACAGGCTCGAAGACGAGGTTTTGATAGAGCAGCTGTATTATAAATTCTGGAGTGCTGTTTGCGGGGCGAATGCCGACACGCCATCTCGGATTCCATTGGCAACCTGGTGGTTGAGGGTCTGACGACAACCATGCAAAATGTAATAATCACAATTCAAATCAAAGGTCAAGTGATAATAGGTGGAGCAACGCTGAAACCGAAGAGGAGGGGAGGGGCGGAGGTTCCGAAACTGATTCTGAAGTTGACCCTCTCCGTGCGCCAACGTACGTTTCATGTTCAGCATTCCCCAATATGGGATGCTTCGCCACTCCGGGTGGCGAAGCACCCCATTTCGCTTCGCCACTCGCCGCCCCGTGCCTGCGCCTACGAGAATCAACCACGGCAAGGACCACACGTTCTTCTTTTACCTTGGTGGTGGCTGTCTTTATCAAACTAGTGGGATTAATCGCCAAAATAAGGATCAGTAATGAGTGGAAACCAATGAAGCCGTATATGTTGGGCGCAACTTCGCTTCTTGTCAGCTGTGCAGAATACTAGAGGGTTGTTACCCTCTCTTTTTTGCTTCTTTTAATCGTTTTCTTGCGCCACCCCAGCCGACTCCCCCAGGCTGGATTACACTCAATCGGCATTTCGGCGATGACTCCTTGATAACTGCCTTTGTTCATGTTTTCATGGAACAAATCAACATACACCACTAGCCCCCAAAGTCGCAGCGACATACAAGATAACAAAGCTCTTCCACACATCACGGTTCGCCGGCGAGGGGCCGCGATTGCCACAGGACGGTCAAGGAATTCGAAAACAACGCTCCGCGTCCCGGCCCTCTCGTTACAACGCAAGCAGGGCGTCGTGCCGCGGATCAACCGCGAGCAACAGAAACACGACTACTGCCGAGGCCACCGACCATTCTCCTCTCTCAACAGCCGCATGAGACCACGCAAACAGAGGCAACCGTCCACATCTGAGCGCTCGTCCCGCGGTACGACGGTGGCGGCCTGCACGTCAGGCCGGCGGCCGTGGTGGGCTGGGGCTGGGGCCGGCGCGTCACCGCACGGGCGGCCCGGAACGCTGCTCGCCGCTTACGCTGCAGCTGCTGCAGCCGCAGCGCGCGCTGGTGACTCTGCAGCGCGTCCGGCTGGATGTCGTCCGCCTCCCAGGCGCTCGGGTTCCACCAAGTCGGTCAGCTCAGCGGCCTGGCGGGCAGCCGGCAGGTACAGTCAGCGCCCAGCCGGCGGGTGGTGACGGCAGGTGGATACGGTCAGTAGTGTGACAGCAGCTGGACGCCGTCAGCAGTGTGACAGTAGCTGGACACCGTTAGCAGCATGACAGCAGCTGGGTACTGCCAGCAGTGTGACGGCAGCTGGATACGGCCAGCGTAGGACAGCAGCTGGACGCCGTCAGCAGTGTGACAGCAGCTGGACACCGTCAGCGGAGCGACAGCAGCTAGATACCGCCAGCAGTGTGACGGCAGCTGGATACGGCCAGCGTAGGACAGCAGCTGGACACCGTCAGCAGTGTGACAGTAGCTGGACACCGTCAGCGGAGCGACAGCAGCTAGATACCGTCAGCAGCGTGACGGCAGCCGGATACGGTCAGCAGTGTGACGGCAGCCGGATACGGTCAGCAGTGTGGGTCAGTACCAAAAGCGGCCGGCATAGTGAGATCAGACGTTATGAGCAGAGTTGACGCTTCGATAACGGACATGACTGGTGACTTTGACTTCCTTAACAGCACATTGATGATGAGGCTGTTAAGAAAGCTTCGCGCATTAAGAACATTCCGTTTTCGTCCAACGCTGTCGACCCAGCAGAGGCAGATTTTTTCACTCACGTGACACGTGAGACAGGCGGTAATACTTAATTCCCTGTTTCATTTTCATATCCATTAGTGGCCTTTTCTGGAAACGTCGTCAAATGCGATAGAAAACATCAGCCAGCAAGCAAGTGTAGACACTTTTCCGTGTGAAGTCACTCGGGTTACTTATCTGGAACGTACTATGCTAGAATATTATATGTCTGGTGGTACCTGATAAAACAGCTGGACGCCGCGTCCCGGAGGCGCTGATGCTCAACATTTGCCGCAGCTCTTGGTGGATAACCTCCTCTTTGGCGCCGCTCCATGGCTGCGCAATGTTCCCAGGCACAAGCTCGCCTTGGATGACCAAGGAACGAGGTAACGGTGGCGCACCGCTGAGTGATCAGTGTTTAAGGCGCTGAAAGTTGCAGGCGCGCCTCACAAGGTCCGCGCCCTTTCTTGTCTCGCGCGCCACTGCTTCGATCTGACAAACGCGCGCCCCGGACAGCGGTAGCCTACACCTGCGCGGACAACGCCTGACCACCACACGGAGGGCGTCTTCGTATCGAGCCGCCAGCAGCCTGAAACCGCCTGCCATCGTGCGTCCGCCATGTCACAACACTGAGCGCGTTTAAGACCGCCATACGCGATGCGATTTTTGACCACCGACCACGGATCTCACACGACCCGCTGTGCAGTGATAGGTCTGTTTTCAACTGATTCACCACTTCTCGTATCATCTTAGTGTATACCTTTCGTGTGTGCCTTATCATACCGCACCTTTATGATATGAAGCCGTAATAGCCACTATGTGGATGGTTTCCAATATACTGATACTAATACTGATACTGGTCTCCGAAATGGAGAGTCAATGGTACTATCTCCGAAATAGAGAGAATCAATCATCAGCTGACCCCAAATGGTTTTGAGCCGCCTGCCTGTCATGTTTGACGTGAGTATCATTTGCCGTTTTTTATCCGGTCTCGGGAAGATCGCGTGATGTTGGTGGTCCGTGGCCCTCCGCATGGGGTGTTTACATCCCATCTGAGGAGGGTGGGTGGGGCATCCACTCTTGGTCAGTGTTTACAAGTTTCGCCAGAGTAAATGGGTACCGGGATAAGACGTCTGCAGATTACACATCTGATAATCCCCTGGTATGTCTTCTACAGCCAGGATGCACCGCTGTCGTCCTCGCCCAACCATTTCATGGAGCAGCGTAACCACGACGCCATGTTGTCGCCGAGCGGCTGTGCACACCCAAAGCGCGCCCAGCCCCCCCACGTGGGCGTCTGAGCCACTGCCAGCTAGGCTGATACGCATCCGAATATCATGACTCGGCCTGACCCTGTAATGTGACTATGACTTTTGGGTGACAAAACCACTTTTGGGCGCCAAGTGTGTCTGGGGACAAACGTTGGCTCAACCCTTCAAAATCGTTTTTACTGGTTCTCGAGATAGAAATCTCGGTAATCCAAAAGGCGGCTTTATATCCGTCCATGCCGGGTTAGACTGCAACTGGTGGTGGCCAGTGAAGTGACCTGCAGCGAGTCCCACCTGTGGCATCACCATGATGTCGGTGTAGGCCAGCCGGGAGGAGAGACCTGCAGCGAGTCCCACCTGTGGCATCATCATGCTGTCGGTGTAGGCCAGCCGGGAGGAGAGACCTGCAGCGAGTCCCACCTGTAGCATCACAATGCTGTCGGTGTAAGCCAGCCGGGAGGAGAGACCTGCAGCGAGTCCCACCTGTGGCATCACCATGCTGCCAGTGTAGGCTAGCCGGGAGGAGAGACCAGCAGCGAGTCCCACCTGCGGCATCACCATGCTGTCGGTGTAGGCTAGCCGGGAGGAGAGACCAGCAGCGAGTCCCACCTGTGGCATCACCATGCTGTCGGTGTAGGCCAGCCGGGAGGAGAGACCAGCAGCGTCGACGGCGGCCGAGGGCTCCTCCGACCCGACCAGCACCCTCTGCGAGCGCCTTATGCTCGGAGCCATGTCCTGCAGTCAAACAATCAGACAATCGAATCGGCGGTCAGGTGCTGCTCTGGACCTCATATCCGCACACTCAGATCACCCCGACTAAAACAGCGCCTATGTGATTGCTTGCACTTCATACATATCAATTACCATATATTTGGACAAGGCCTACGCTAGGGATAACGGTGCGGGTCCTTTGCGAGATACAACCGACAATTTTCCCCGATGTGCCCCGTGAACGGAAAATAATCCATCACCCACCACACAGCCAACTTCTTCCGTCTAGTTTCTAGGTGAACACCGTCCAGCCAGTACATATTCGTGTTCGTAGTATTGTTGTAATGATCGCCATAGTGCATTGCGACACAGGCTCACGCTCAGGATGTTTGATATGATTAGAAACAGTATCCACCCACCCAGTGAGCTGAAAATGAGCGCTGCATGGCGCGAGCCGGCATTGGTGGGACGAAGAACTCCAGGGACAGTTGTCCGTGGTTGCAGGCTGAGTGCCATTTCGGAAGACTCCCCAACACTCCGGTTAGCTATGGTTTTACTATGTGTGTAGTCATAGCCTATTCGCACGCCCGTGCTCTCCCCAGCAAACGTTTAAGCTCGAGTGCACAGGCCGGTCGGTTGTGCCGTGTTCTTCCCGTTACAACAGCGTCGGCCTCCTCACCGAGAAGAAGTCCGGCTCGGGGGCCTGCTGCTCCGATTCGGACACGCGCGAGCGCGTCTCCCGGTAGGCGCGAATCTTGTCCTGCACGGTGACGACGGCCGACGGCTCCTCCCAGCTCCAGCCGGCCCCTGGGTCGTCCTGTCCGGGCGGACACAGACACATCACGCCCTCCGCCGCACGAAAGCTGTACGCTACCTATATTGTAAACCGAACGCGATATTTCACGCAGAATAATAACTGTGTGGATGTAAAAATGCTGTTCTGATTTGGATACCACGGATGTTCGTATCATTCCTCCAAGGTCGGCAAAACCTCTGAGCACACGCTTTTGACTACGGTGAATCTAATGGTGAATGTTTCATGGAAGTTGTAACCATGGGTTCTGAGAGAGACCATGGAAGCTAGAGCGCTGGCTTTTCCTTTGCAAAATTTATCTTTAGTCCGGCGCAAGTATGGTTGAGGGTTTTGCGACGATAACCACGATAGCTTCTCTGAGCACGGACAAGGCAGGACAACTTGGTTGGAAGTTCCAATCAGCGGTTTTCCAACCAACCTGGAAGCGTTGAAAAGTGCATCCAGCTGGTCATGTTTCGGAACGATCAGCTGTTCACATCAAGGAAGGCCGTCACAGCGACACCGGAAGCGCCTGTTTTCAAGACTTTGGGCATAGGACGAGTTCACCAGACTCCATAGGACGGCGCCTTCAGTGGTGGATGTTTCGCGGCGATCCGAGAAATACGGTTTAAAAACGGTGCTGGCAGTCAAACCCTGGTTTCCTTTGTTTTCACATCACGGCATTTCACCATCGTTCACCATAACCCCAAAGGATCCGTTTCATACCACGGTGGGTCTGTAGGCGGACAATTCGTTACAGTCCCTGGATGGGTTCTGAGAAAAGTGGCGACAGCACGCTTGAAGTGCTCGTGTTCAGCGCTTGTGCTTTTTAAGTACATTTCCACAACACTTCGCCACGGGCAACAAAAAACCAAGCCGACCTTTTAGTTAGGGCTCATTGGCTTGTGACAACATCGACATCATCGGCTGTTTAGCTTTGGAGAATAGCCGTGGCAGCTAGAGCACTGACTGTTCCCATATCTTCTCTCCTGACCTAACGTCGAACAGTGCAATGGGTTCTGAAACGACCGTGGCAGCCGCAGCGTTGCTTTTGTATTCGATTCTGCTTCCATGACCTGACATACAATGCCACCCGTTTTTGACAATGGCGCGTCAGCGAGTGTTCACGGCCAGATTACGGCTGTGTGACCAGGCGCCGAGAGCGGCCCCACCAGGCCTCACCACGGCCAGATTATGGCTGTGTGACTAGGCGCCGAGAGCGGCCTCACCGGGCCTCACCACGGCCAGATTACGGCTGTGTGACCAGGCGCCGAGAGCGGCCCCACCAGGCCTCACCACGGCCAGATTACGGCTGTGTGACTAGGCGCCGAGAGCGGCCTCACCGGGCCTCACCACGGCCAGATTACGGCTGTGTGACTAGGCGCCGAGAGCGGCCCCACCGGGCCTCACCACGGCCAGATTACGGCTGTGTGACTAGGCGCCGAGAGCGGCCTCACCGGGCCTCACCACGGCCAGATTACGGCTGTGTGGCTAGACGCCGAGAGCGGCCTCACCGGGCCTCACCACGGCCAGATTATGGCTGTGTGACCAGGCGCCGAGAGCGGCCTCACCGGGCCTCACCACGGCCAGATTACGGCTGTGTGACCAGGCGCCGAGAGCGGCCCCACCGGGCCTCACACTGTCCGTTTTCCTAGCCACTCATAACCCCTGACCTTATCCGAACTGTTGTTCAACCGGCATGACCTTGAACCCAATATATTCGCCTACCGCAGGCACGCATGTTGCACCTGTGAATCAAACGTGGATTTGACGGCGATCGGTTCACTAGTTTGCGAGTTCGACAAGGCTCGGCTTCCTGTGGCGGCTTTCCTCCGCAGCCTGCTACCGAGCATGGCCGAGCGTGATAGGTGATATCACGTCCAGCGCGGCTTACGCTTTCGTACGCGACGGCAAGTTGGATAATTTGTGCTCACAATTTGCAGTTAAGGATATGGTACTGACCTACGAAGATTACATGTCGAAACAGAAAAGCTCATGCTTTCAACAGGCAAACTTCCAAAAGTTCGTCCGCTCGTACATTTGTCAAGCTGTGGCATCCGATTGTGACGGCTGGGGCGTGGCATACAGAAGTCACGATGGATTTGAGGCGCGATGGAAAAAAATAATTATGATCTAAGAGTAAGCTACGTAACAAGATTTACAGCGGTCCTGGAAATATATGTCCAGAGGAGAGCGTAAGATACATTTTTCTCTAGTATTTGTGAGTCACGTCAACCAAAAGGTTTCTTGATGCCCTGACGGGCAAAAATTATGGCTTTATGCAACGTCCAACCAGGTGTCGGGGTACAAATCAGGCGCCAAACCTTGCCGTGATTCAGATACAGGGCAAAACGTAATCCAGAACCCATTTAGGACTAACTAAGGTCAGTACCGATTACATTGCGTTCACTAATAAAGCTGACACCTGAATCGTCATGAGTGCATCGAAGAGAGGCCCGTCTTTGGCCAATAGGTAAATAAAGCTTAAGGAAAGGTACTAACGATGCCAACGTTTGGCCTCCGTTCATTCGGGTTGCTCACCGGCCTCACTGGCATATGAGCCAGTGGTCAGCATTGTTGCATGCACGAATATCGAGCAATACCGGCACAATACTTGCTTTTCTTGAACATGTTTTTATATTCTCAAAATGCGACAGCTAAACTTCCCACGATCTATAATTTCCTCGTTTGCAAAGAAGTAAAAAAGTAAAGCACATCCTTGTCATGCCACACATCAAGGCATAAATTTCTCATCAGCAACCCTCTACCTTTGACTCATTTATTGTTGTCAAACAACGGAACAAGTATCTTTAACTTACTTTCACCTAAACCGCTCTTAAATAAGCCGAAGATGTAACGCATTTTTAACTTCTCACTTCTCAGATAGAACGGCACGCCTTTCATTCTAGATTATTACCTCCCCGCATGTCAAAGTAATGAAGTTACAACAGATCACGCCATATTCGGTGTCGTGATGGTTCAAGATGTAAAACTTAAGACTTAGTGTCTTCCATTCTTTCCATTTCCTAAGCTTGAACTTTTCCAAACTGCCAGAGGCTAGAATTCTTGAACAATTTTCTGATCGAGCTTAGCATTTAAGGAACTGTCTTCCGGGCTCACACAAGTCCGCCCATCATCAAAATATCCCCGTAAAAATCCAAACAACGAGGGCATCCAACACTGGTACATTACCGTGAAATCAAGCCCAATCAAGGAGTCTAGAGGTCGCCTGTCCATGAGCTTAAGACATCAGGACGTATCTGACTCACCGATAGCACCCGTGACCCCAGTTCCAAAGCTATGTTGACGCATTGGTATTCATGGGTGGCGAGAAGGTCATCTCTGATAAGACGCTGCGCTTATGCAATGTGCCGGTAGCCTTTCGGAGACCCCAGTCTCCCTGAGACGCTCCGCCTTATGCAATGTGCCGGTAGCCTTTCCGAGACCCCAGTCTCTCTGAGACGCTCCGCCTTATCTGGGCGTTCCTCGTCAGCAGCGCACCCCGACTGCCGGCTGGTGAACTCATCAATCTGAGCGTAGGTGAGCAGCGGCGGCTCGGGGACCGTGTCGGCCAGTTCGCCGGGCTCCAGCAGCTGGCGCTGGAGCGCGGGCAGTGGCGGCGGCCGATACAGCAGCGCGGGCGGCACCCAGCGCGGCCGGCCGGCGGCCGGCGGCTGGCCGCAGCGCCGCTGCAGGTCGCGCACCGCTCGCTGCCGGCCGCGCGAATCGCTCCCGCGTCGACTGACGGCGCGAGATGACCGCCTGCACAGCCGCCGGCAGTTCCACCTCCAGGTCTCCCCCCGTCTCACGGTGGCACTTTTCCGCCTCCGAGGGCGCGCTGGGGGCCGGCCGCGGCCCCGCAGGCGGCCGTCCCCGCGGGGCCGGCCGAGGGTGAGGCGGCACGTGACGACCTCTGCACAGGGGGATGCCACGCCCGCGCCCCGACTCCGAGCCTCCTGACGGCCGCCCTGATAGTATTGACTTCCTGCGCGGCGCCTTATGCGAGAACAGCGTCTCGTAAAGGTGGTCGACGACGAGCGAGTCACTGTCAGAGCTGTTGTCGAACACCAGAGCGCCGTACGAACAGTCCATGTCAGTGCGAATGGCACGCATTCACAGGCTTGGTTGTGGGCGATCCAACGGTAAATGCTTCTCTGAGAAATTCTGCAAGCTGTGACTCCTGGCACAACTCCGAATCGTTACAGATGTTAAACTTGTATCACCTGGAGTTCACTGAGGTCGCATACAATACTATGGCCCCCAATGCTGGAGTCAAGCAGAACCTAGCAGTGAAATACCGTTTGAACTGGCGCTGCATGAAAACCATCATGGAAACTTGAAAAACCTATCACCCCAAATTTACCCGGTGTTGAAAGTTTTTTCTCGGACATGCTTATTCCATGAATCAAAAATCCCCAGCCCATTTGCTACAAACGGCTACCGCCGTTGCCCACTTCGCAAACTTCACTTTATTCCGGCTTTTGATTTATTTGGCTCCATGCACGACGATGTAATTTAACGGCTTAACTTGATGACGGGGGCTTTCAAACGTGATCAGAATAGAAAAGCACCTCTGGCCGGTTCATAAATGTAGGTGTATTTCTCTTCAGGCTTTATATGCTGGACCCAACAAGCTTAGCTATCAACTCTAGCTCTTGCATGAAAGCACACACACCACACACGCACGCACGCACGCACACGCACGCACGCACGCACGCACGCACGCACGCACACGCCACACACACACACACACACACACACACATATATATATATATATATATATATATATATATATATATATATATATATATATATATAAGCCGTGCTCTACACGACTTGATGCCGAACGCCGATGGGGAAACACAATGTTCTTGTGGGCCAATACGAGAAACGCGCCTACACTAGGAACATCCCACAATTCGCGAAATCAGGCAATAACTGCTGTTCATAATAGTCTTGGTCCCAAGCACATCCCAGAAACAAGACAACTACACGTTTTGCCAGCCACACTATGCACACTAAACCTCGAGGGCTCGGGAATTACAAAGGGGTGTTGACTAGTTCTTCCGCGCGGTCTCTATGAGACCACTAAAAAAACAAATGATTTCCAGGCGTCGCATTTGATATAGCTGAGTGTTTTAATAGCACACCGGTACAAAACACAAATCGTCTTATTGACTTCTCATATGCTAAGCTCCATGCCAAACAAAGCAGGTAACTATCAAAACATCGGCTTGAACAGATTTGATAGCAAAATTGGCCTGATTCGGATCTCGGTTTTGTACCCACGGTGCTTCCAAGTATCAGCCCGGCGCTGAAAAAAATAACGCTTTGTTTACCTTTTATTTCCAAACACTTGGTTTGACGTTACCTGGAAAGTCACCATTTGACTTTGAGACATTGAACGACCTTCGGGCTTGGTTATCAGGATATCCACCGCTGCACTTTTGTGTGGAATTCGTGAGCTACGGGCCCAATAGCAAGGGTCAGCCACCCGCTGTTGCTTTGTTTCTTCGCGCTACAACGGTTTGCCGCCAAATAGCGGGAGTTCAGCGTGCGTTTAAAAACCAGGTGTCTGGTCTACACTTCCACCTCAAAATCAGCCATCGTATCGTACTTCGCAATGACGAGCAACTAAGTTCGTATTGATCTATAACACGGTTTCAAAGTGCATATTATGCCCAGGACCGCGCACAATGCAAAATAACCGCCGAGCTTCCTAGTTCACATTAGCATGCAGTCACACGTGACTGCTACTGACAAGGGGCAAGCTAGTAGAAAGCCAAACACAAGTAAGACAAAATGACGATAGCAAAGCAACACCTCCATATCATATGGGAAGTGCACTTGAAAACGTACGGCTGGCTCTCGACCACCTTGCCCAGTATAACCTTTGATACGCACAGCACTTAAATCTTGCAGCAACCAAGTATATTTTGTCTAAGACGAACCACGTTTGCCCCGTATCGGTACGCTCAACAACGAGCACGATATTACCATTTCGTTCGTGGCGTTCACCCACTTAAGCAAAACACCTCACACACATTTCGCAACAAATTAGTCACCTTCGACCCATGCCCGCAACGGCTTTGTAATAACTGTTCACGCGGATTCTCGCACAGGCATTGTTCAGACATGCACCACTTTAATGATTTCAGCGTCTGAGTAACAAAACCGAGTTGTTATTGCGTACTTTTACATCAGTATGCGCGTACTTTGATTATAGTGCGGATCCCTGGCCATGCATAGGATCGTTCTTTCTGGCAGGCTGATAGCCTGCTCGTCAAACAGCCCGTGCCACTGAGGTTCGTTACCATGCCCTGTCCCCAACTCCAAAAATACGATCATAGTTGGACTGACAACATTAGAGACAAATATTACGATAACGCCCCCAAAATAAACGCAACTGACACGTCCGCTCGTGCCACGCCATTTTATGTCCCACCTCCTCACCATGAAATGTCCCACCTGCTCGCCATGGCATGTCCCATCTGCTCGCCAGGGCATGTCCCACCTGCTCGCCATGGCACGTCCCGCCTGTTCGCCATGACATGTCCCGTCTGCGCACCAGGGCATGTCCCACCTGTCCCCCAGGTATGTCCCACCTGCTCGCCATAGCATGTCCCACCTGCTCGCCATGACATGTCCCGCCTGCTCGCCTGGGCATGTCCCGCTTGCCCCCAGGGCTGTCCCACCTGCTCGCCATAGCATGTCACACCTGCTCGCCATAGCATGTCCCACCTGCTCGCCATGGGATGTCCCACCTGCTCGCCA